TATTCTTTTCATTTCTTTCTTGTACATATAATTTCTCTGATATTTTTTTATTGAATAAATCTTCTTTATTTTGTTATTTTAAATCACCGAGTTCACTCTGTTTCTACCTTTACCTTGAATCCGACGAGCTACTCCGCAGCAATAAAACTTACTCAAAAGAACGGAACACTCATTCACGAAAAAGTAGAACCGTTACAGAGTAGGCACGTGAATTTGCACAGACGCTGTACCTTCGAGCGTCTCATCCTGTCGGGTCTCGAAATCGTAGAACACGAATGCGACGCGCGAGTTTTTCCCTTTGTTGGTGAAATCCTCGCGTGCAAGAGGTCGACTATAACAAAGATGGTTTACATTTTGACGCAAACTGCAAATGTTACAAAATACAACACCGCATTCGTGCACTGCATCCGCTGTTCTGTACAAACGCCCGCAATCGTCACAAACTTGCAAGGCGCTGCACACGCTCACGCGACCGTCTCCGTACGATTTTTTGGCTTGGTGACGCTCGAAACACTCGCGCCCGTAAAACATTCTCTTACATTGCTTGCATCGAATTAATTCTACTTCTTCTGTTTTGCACGACGGCACACCGCGACAACGCGGACATTTATGCGAGCATCGATAAACTTTTCGTTCGGGACGATAAGGCAGGTTGCAAGAAATGCAGTATCCTCTGCTCCTCGCCGCCGCTCTTAAATTAAAAATCGGGTAATAGTGACGCAAACCCTCGCAATAAAGAATATTTAAACGTAGCAAGGATTTGCGTCCGAAAAAGGCGAGCAACGCACCACCATTGTACAACGGTTTTCCGCCTTTCGCGAAAATAGACGAAGCGTAAACATTTATAGCTAAACCCTCTCCGGCAGGGTACCGTTGAAATCGCTCAATTTCTCCATACCATAGCCCTCCTCCGGAATTGTGACGCCTGCTCTCTCTAGCAACTCCTGTGCCCATTGGCGTTGTAAAGAGGAGTTTGAACGTTTCATTGCATTCCATCGCTCATGTAGCTCGCCCGTGCGGGCGTTACCTCGTTTGAGGTATACCCGAGCGGCAACGAGTGAGCGAGGGAAACAGAGGTTGTCGCTATTCGTTATTGAAAGAATCGAGCGTTTCTCGATTCCTTCCGCGTCCAAAGGACGGCCTCCTTTCCCCGATGAAGAGTGGACGGTGCATACGCGTATCGTAAACGACGTAGCGATGTCTATCCCTCCGTTACTTTGCGCAACCAAACTCACGAAAGACCAAATATGTATGTGAGTCAAGTCACGCGCAGGACGAAAAAAAAAAGACCTGCTGCAACGTTGGTCAAAGTCGAGGAATCGAACCACACCCTAACGTAATCATTCGACTCCGATAAATTTGTCGCGTATCTGTGAATTCCGCGAAATGCATCCTCACCCATTCTACTATTTCAGCACCAGGCTGAATTTCGCGGATCTCAAATGTTGCCTTTTTCCCTATTACCCCGAATTTCTTAAATCTACGCGCGTTTTCTGTCCGTAATAAAATAAATGTATAATTATTATATCAAAAAGAAATTATTCTCGCTCGTACTATAAAAATAAGTAATGAATCCAAGTAAGGTCATAAACAAGCAGAAATGGGTGTTAGAAAAAAATATATATAATTATCAAAAAGAATTAACTACTACATTAGTAACTTGTACAACAAACGTTTCCACTTTTTACTTGAGTCATCTTTAGTGTTTTAACAATATAAAAATAAAATAAATACGCTATGCTGGTAATGTAGATGGAGGTGTTTTAGAAATGCAGTTTTCTTGTGAGTGTAAAATTTCATCCTCGAGTCCTAGATGAGGTGATAGATCTGTCTACAAATGTTGAGTTGGAATACACTGATATATCGAATATTATATACAAAACACAAATTACTCACTGGTAAAGATCTACGGTCGCACATTGAACAAGACGGGAAGACAACCGGTTTATATATACATGGATCCCTACTCACTTAGAAAAGTCATATGATAAAGGCGTTACGTTCGAATTTTAGAAGATTTAATTTTGTCAAGTAGATTAAAATATATGCGTCATCTAATAAATCCGTGTCATTATTTAAATTTAAACCGTGAGATTGTTCTTTTATATGTATGGTCTCTGAGATTAACCTTTTATAACAATTTGATTCGTGATCTAAAATACAAGCGTTATCCCAATTAAAAGAGTGGTTGTAATCGATTCTATGTTTAGAGACTACAGAGAGTTGTGAGGAAGTTTTTGTAATGTTGTTCTTATGTTCTTTTAACCTTGTTTTGAGTTGTCTTTTCGTCTGTCC